TAGCTAGCAATTATATATATATAGATATTGTTTACCGTGCATCGCACGGGCTACACGCTAGTTGTTGATTAACTATGATTACCAATTTAGGTAAGCTTTATCTCATCAGTACGTTAGGCTGGCGCATGATTGATCAAAGGGTTAGTTATATCACATCCATGATCTATAAAAGCAAATTGCAACATTTTCCAAATTGGAAAATAAAAGAAAGAGAATATATCCTCTTTTTCATTCTACATTTCGCATCATTTCCTTTGCCTTTTTTCTTCCCAAAGTTCGCATTATGTCAATTCCAATGACTCCTAAAAATGGCCATGATCCCCCAAAAAGAGGCCATCTGTTTACAGTTGAAGGTTGTAGGATAAAAGGTTGATGTAGAAACGACCACCTCAAGAATTTAAGTAAAAGTAAGGTTGTTGTTAGGTGGGTCTAACAGTTAGTCGGTCATAATTTTAAACATATATGCATACCATGAAAAGTCATACTTTAAAGAATTATAAATAAAATTATAACATTTCATAATATAAATACGTACTTTTATTAAAAAAAAATAACGGATCGACTATTCTAACATATAGACCGACTCATACAAGATTTATGTTTAAGAATTGGGTGTACCAAACTGATATTTCCATAGCAAGAGAAAAGGTGATTCATTTCTTCTGATTTTTACCCATGCGCCAATAAAAAGTTCGACAATATGAAACATCAAATCAAGAGGGTCCATTTTTTGGTAATTAACAACAATGGTTGTAGAAAAGCACACAATTCCAATTGGTGTGGGGGGCCATCAATTTTTGGATGTTCTCTTGCACGAGTCTACAAGTTGCTTCTTTGCATTTAAAACATTCCCAATCTTGCAATTACTTAAGCCCAGCAAATTACGCTTTGTTTGGGATTATAGAGATGAAAAAAAAAATCTTGTATCATGTGAAATAAAAATCTGTACTTCTACAGTTACACTATAAATAACATTGTTTTGTACTTCTACAGTTACATATATATATATATATTTTGTTTTAAATACGATATTTTAGTTTGAAAGTATATATCCCCTATATATAATTTCAGAATGCGTTGAGCTACGTAGCAAACTCTCATACTTCGAAATCATATTTGGCAAAATATCATGCTATGGAGTTAGGCTTGGATATAAATTAATATTTGTATTTGTATTAATTGTATTTTAATATCATTTCCTATTATAACCAATGAATTGTAAATATATTTTAAAAGTTGATAACTTTTGTATTTCTTATCGGTTTTATATATATAATATATCAAATTAATCATCTTTTGATGAGCTTCGATTTGACATCCATATTGTATATATAAAATAAATAAATTTTGTTTATTTTTATAATAATAATAAAATTATTTATTAAAATTAATTAGAAAATAAAATTATTATTATTTTAAAATTACATATAAAGTTAAAATATTGTGAAGCACGACTGATAAGACATTTGATGTATTAGACATCTAATTAAGTAAAAAATTAATCTATTTTGCTTAATATTAAATACACATATTCTACACTTATGCATATACATATCGCCATATTATTTCTATTTATTTAAAATATATATTGTACTTATGTAATAGTAAATAATATCGATATTTTTATATAATATAAGTAAAAAAATTCAAAACGGGTTGATATTTTCATTTAATGTACGGGTGTTTAATTATTATGATTAAAAAAATATAATTTGACAATTTAATTAAAACTTAAAGTAATATTTTATATAAAATTAAATTATTTTAGTTTTTAAAAAATAAAAATTTAATATTTTTTACAAAATCTTTCTAATTCAACACCCATGTAATACACGGATATTGTACTAGTATTGGATTGTTACAACATCCTTAATATAGGTCTGAGACATCCTGTATAACGACCAAGAGTAATGCATTTTTCTAATTTTCATTACTGCTTTTAAGGGGAAAAACAAGGAAAGAATAGTAAGGTTGTTTTGAGAGAAGTAATAACTGTTTTCATTTTAGAAAATTCACTGTACAAAAAAAGTTTCTCTTAAACTTTTTGGAAAAGTTGTCTATCATTAATTTTCTCAACCAAATGCTCCAGGTCATTTTAATAAATAGCACATAAAATCACTAATCAAGATTTTTAATTACAATTTATTTAATTAATTTTTTTACTATTTTTGTTTCTAATCAACATTATGTTTATCTTGGTAAACTCTGCATACCCACAACGGATTCCGAGCTGTTGGTAGTCGATCACAGATTTTTGTACGTGTGATCAAACGGCTCGGAACCTGATGTGAGCACGTAGACTCGAATTAACAGTTAATCTTACAACTTTGGAACACAAACTCACACATGCAACCAGCAACTAATATAAACCCCTTAGACAGCCTAAGGGGGTGATTGGATATGAATTCAACTAGTAAAAAACTAGTTTTTTTTAACTATAGTTAAGTTTGAAAAAAAGTAGTATGGTTAGTTGTTAGTGGATATATTAAAATAATATTTAAATTAAAATAATTAAAGTTGATTTGATGTAAAAGTAGGAGAAAATGATTGGAAGTGATGGTTAGTTAAAATTATGTGAGTGTGTGAATAGTGAATTAAAGTTGATGTGATGTATAATAATGATTGTTTGATATTATTTAATTATATTGATAATATTGGAGATAATGGAGTTGAGTTAAAATTGAGTTAAATTTGAGTTTTGAGTGAGATATTTACTGTAGAAAATATAAACAATCACGCCCTAAGGGGTTCTACAAGACTACAACAAACGACAACAAGAAATAAATATTTTTTTCTTTTCAAAAACTTAGATAAACTCATAGCTGACACAAGTTATTAGGCACAAGCTGTAGCTCCAACTTGCAGGGATTGCCCTCCACAAAAAACAAGATAAGGACAAACAAAAAGCACAATGAAAAAGTTTTTGGTCAAGCAAAAGTACCTTATATTGAGACATTTGAGCTTCCTTGCAAGCATGCAGTTTCAAAAGGTGACTGTCCTGTTTTTTTCACTATGCCTAAAGCAGTCAACATTTAATAATAACTGTAGGTAAAAGTCTTTAATGCCTTTGTCCACTACTGCCCCCTGACAAGT